ACTATTGCCATGATTTCCCCACCGTTTATTATTTCCGTGCTTTGTGAGGTTTCAACGCCATGGACAAGTTTCAGAGTAAGGTGGATACTCCCGCTGCTATGATGCGATTCCATCATGAGTACAGTGTTGCTAATGACGTCACATTATCGTTGGCAATGATGGATGCTAAACAGATAGGGACCAAATCAACAGTCGCCTTCCTTATAGCATCCATTGTTGAAGGCAGACTTAGATTCTTATTAGACACTTGGTTGCATCAGCTTTTCCATCAAGTCATGCTTACCTCGATGCAAGTCTCTATTAATGTCATTAGGATAGTCTGTGGAATCTCAACCCTTAATCATAAGCTCAAACTTAACCTTGAAATCTGGGACATCTTTCATTGCAATGGTTTATTCCACAACAAGGATTATAGCACATATTACTTGTGTGTTTGGTCGGCCGAGTTACATATTACTTGTGTGTCTGATCGGCCGAGTTGCACCTAGTTACCAAGCTCTTTGATAAAGGACAAGCACAATGATGACTTCCTTCAAGTTAGGAGAAATTGGGAGTTTTCAGCCGATACTAAGGACCAAATAGAGAGGCTACCACAAGTCGATAGCCATCCAAGTCTTGGACTGACCTCTCCTTTAATCTCAAATTCTTGATTATTTTGCCTAAGTCACTCGTTTGGTTCCCCTTTCAGGTTCTAGTTGACACGAGGCAGCCGACCACGGAGAACGTAGAAGCGATCAAGGCCACATTTCAATACAAAAAACGTTTAGCTCTAGAGTTGCTCGGTTACATACAAATCTATAGGTTTACTATCACAAAGAAAGTTAAAGTACTGATTATCTTCAAGAGTCTCCTGAGCATAAAGACAAGCATCAACTCGATTAGATAACAAGTGCCTCTTCTTTTGTTCCAACCCGTTCTTCGAGCCAAGCTCCCAATAGCACTGTCTAAGGAGATAACCATGCTGAAGCAAAGAATGATGCTTGATTTGGAGACCAAAGTTCTCAATTCCACATCTACACAAGGAACAGCTCTCTTGCCTTTCCTTAGACTAGGTAGTATGAGAGGCTTGTTTAGAAATTTGTTTGAAGGAGAAGAACGTTTATTTTATTCTGAGGTTGAACTAAACAAGTCCCCCCCTTTCCCAAACCGAGAGGTCCTCGAAGAGGCATAAGGAGACTAGCGAAGAACTAGTTGATGCCATATTGAAGACCAAGGAACGAAGAGTTGCCCGAGCTGTGGGAACAGCCTTTGATGCATACTGGCCGACTAATCAATACCACTAACTCCGTTGTAAATTCACGCGAGATGGCTTTCGATCTGTCGAAGATCTTCTTCCACTTGACATGGCCAACCACAACATTCCTTCAAGAAACCACATAATGAAGGGAATAGCCCAAATGCTAACCGTGGAAATGCGTTTTTGTACATATTTAAGTCTTTCCTCTCCCTTGTTAGCAACTAATTGACTGTCTTCTTCAATGTGTACAAAGGATGCATATCATTGATGATTTGACTACTTTAGAGGATTCCAAGAGGACCCCCAAGGTGGCTGAGCAAGAGGCATCTTGGCCTAAGACTTCTATTGCGTCAGATGAGAAGGCAAAGCTAGAAGCTGTGGAGATAAGCAAGAAATCAGAGGAGAGAGTGGCCAAGCTAGAGGGTGTGGTGGCAATCAAACTCGAGGTGCGATGTCAAAGGCTTGTAAAAGTGATTCCAATAACCAGATTTATTTAAAGCACTTTAACCCTCAAACATCTCACATCACAAGTGCAACCCTATAAAGAACTGCAAAATAAACATGTATTCCTATTTTTTGGATATTGTTCACAAGGTAGGAACAAGCCCAAACCAATCCCCAAAACTCATATTTTTCAATCTCAAAACCCAACCCTTTGTTTCACTTTTAAAACCGTAAAATCCTCGTATTTTTTCACTCATCTAGCTTTTTAAAACTAACTGAAAGAGTCACATGCACTTTTTTTGTTGCTATACATTTGAGAACAAGAGTCACTCCTGTTAGTAGAGTGCAATTTGCACTGATTCTACATCACAAAAAAGCAAGGACATATGCCTAAGTGGGTACAAGATACAGGTGGTTTGCCTTTGTCTATCCTAACACCTCATTAATAGTGGGACCTCAACTACTAGGACCACCAAATCACCAATACACAGATTTCAGATGTTTACAAAGCACATCACATGTCTTTATCTTGGTATAGAGTCATCTCCTTTTGGAGATCTATCTCTTTCGCTCTCTAAGTCAAGCAAAAGCACAAGTCCCTCGAGGGAGAGTGGAGAGAGCATCTTAATCAACCTTTAATTCTAGCCACCAAGTCACATGACCTGAGAGGTATTGCATAGGGTCATAGGGTCTTACTCAACTGCCCTGTAATCGTGGAACAAACTCTACTAGAGAGGTCCCTAGGCTAGTGTAGGAGCATTGGATGCCATTGGGGGAAAAGGGGGGACGCAGCATAGGTGAAACACACTATAGTAAAGAATCACTCTACCACCAAACAAAAGGCATCGAGCATGGCGTCAAGAGCAAGGGAGGCGACGCGCAAGAGAGGAGCATATTGAGCACGTTTACATAAGCATATTACAAGTACCTTACTAATTGTCTGTAAGCCCTAGGCTTAAGGTTAAGGCATCGTTAGTCTTAAGTGACATGTCTCGACTCACAAAATATCAAATTTCAATTTCTCATCACAAAATATTTTATTACACCTTTTCCTTTCACTAGTAACATTTTTCATTATTAAAATTAATATTCATTTGTTATAGGATTGTGGTCAAAAAAAGTTGAATGAAAACAGGAAGGAACCAAAAATAAGAAGAAAGTATCATATTAGTATCAGAGTCATTTTCTTGCAAAAAGAAAAATTAAATCTTCAATGAAATATTTGAAAAAATGCATACCATTCCTTCTTGAATAACATCCAAGGTTAAGGTCTTATGCAACAAAGCAAGACGCAAAGAAAGCCAGATCTTAATCCACTAAGACTTCGGAAATTACAAACATTTTAAGTAAATAGAATCCACTAAGACTTCGGAAATTACAAACATTTTAAGTAAATAGAATCCACTAAGACTTCGGAAATTACAAACATTTTAAGTAAATAGAATCCACTAAGACTTCGGAAATTACAAACATTTTAAGTAAATAGAATCCACTAAGACTTCGGAAATTACAAACATTTTAAGTAAATAGAATCCACTAAGACTTCGGAAATTACAAACATTTTAAGTAAATAGAATCCACTAAGACTTCGGAAATTACAAACATTTTAAGTAAATAGAATCCACTAAGACTTCGGAAATTACAAACATTTTAAGTAAATAGAATCCACTAAGACTTCGGAAATTACAAACATTTTAAGTAAATAGAATCCACTAAGACTTCGGAAATTACAAACATTTTAAGTAAATAGAATCCACTAAGACTTCGGAAATTACAAACATTTTAAGTAAATAGAATCCACTAAGACTTCGGAAATTACAAACATTTTAAGTAAATAGAATCCAAATTTTTTAAACTAAAGAACGAAAAAATTACAGAGAAAGTAGAACAGATCAACAGATTTGACAATGAGAAAGTAGAGAATGAAAAATGTACCTGATTAAGAGCAAGAGAGATCAGTTAGAACAGATCGATTTTGGATTTTGGATTTTGGATCTGCGATTTGATGAAGAACAGAACAGATCGATTTGATGAAGAACAGATCGAGTTCGAGTTCGATGAAGAACAGCTAGAGCAAAGCCCTCGAGCGACAGAGATCGATGAAGAATAGCTAGAGAGTTCGATTGCGAGCGACAGAGATCGATTAAGTGCAAACCATCGAGGGTTTTGGATCTGCAATCGAGCAAATCGAGGGTTGAGGATGAGAAATTGAGCGAGCGAGCGAGAGAGTGTGTGTTTGAAACTGAGCGAGAGCGAGTGAGAGCTTCAAATCGAGGGTTTTGGAAGAGAGGGAAACTGAGTTGTGGTAGAGACTGAGAAAGAGAGACTGAGTTCAAAGAGACGGAGGTTTTGATGGTCAATACATTGACCCAATACGGCGCCGTTTCACTGAGATCAGACACAACGTTTTTCGAAAACGTTGTGTTTCGTTAATTTATAGTGGCGTTTCCCTAAACGCCACAAAAAAAACGTTGTTGTAGACCACTTTTCCTGTAGTGAGAAGAGAACAATATTAGGAAAGAGCGGGAAGAAATTATCAATCCTTGCTCAATGCAAGGATTGACCCCCTAACCTCTCAAATAGAAATGTACCAGGGTAACCAACTAAGTTAACCCACCCTTGTTATTTGTACCTTTTTCAAGGAATCTAAGCACCTTAAATTCATAGATCAAACTGAGAATGAAGCTGAAACATTGTCAGTTCAGTATTGTGAAGGCAAGATTGCAGATGTAAAGGTTCTCAGATTTCAGTTTTTCGGCCTGTCAAACAACTAAACAAAAATTCACCAAGTCTGGAAATACAGTAACTTAATTTAGTTTAATGAAATAGCACTATTAGCACCTAAGTACGGCTGTTAACAACCATCTTATTACTTCCATCACCCAGTGAATTCCCTATTCAGCTTAGTAATTATGCAATTTTATAGGCTAACTCCAATCGAACTTGTCAATTGTTTGAGTCATTACTAATCTTGTTTCTTTTCATGCATTTCCTCTTTTATTCCCCCACTTACTCTCCATTTTTTTTGTTTGTTTGTTTTCTTGCGAAACCACATTGTTGTTTTCAGCATATAACTCGAGTATCCAGTTCCTAAACTAGGAAAATCAGACATTTAGAACAGATGTCGCAGCAACAATACAAAAGAAAACTTGAATGAATTATACATCAAAACCCTATTATAATAATGATTCAAGGATGGGTCAACAATAGCATAGCATCCGAGAGAACCAACCGTAGTACACACTAATGATAGAATAATCTATCTCCATACATATAATAACTTAAAACACAAACAATCAATTATCTAACAAATATTTACCTTCAAGGTGATCTTATTGGCAAACCTAGGTAGTTTTCCAGAAATGCCATCACCAAAAAGAGAACCCAAATCATCCTCTTCTGCTGAATGATTTCGCTTTTGTAGCCTTTTATTCTTATTCTTATAATTATTATTATTCAACTCCCTCTCTCCTGATTCAAACTCCATATCAACATCATCGCCATCAACTTCATCGACCTCTTTCCCAAGTGAACTTCTTCCACCTAATAATAATAACACATACAAAACAACAAATAAATTTAAAACCATACATACATACATACATGTAATATATATATATATATATACACGAACCACCTCTGACAGTGGCTCTGGGGAAGTTAGGGACGTCGTCTTGGAGTTGCATAGCCAATACTTGTGTTTCGTCTGTTTTACTTGTGGGCTTGAATGATTTCTTAGATGACTTCTGGAATTTCTGCTCAGATTTCTTGTTTGAAATTTTCTTGGAAGGTCGTGCCATTTTACCTGAAAATTTTTCTAAGCAACCAAACACGTTCTAGGGTTTTGAGACAAGTGATCGTTTAAACCCTAAACCCAAACCAATACAGAGCACGAGCTGCGGAGGAGGCTTTAGAAGGGTTTTAGACAAAACTGCTGATGATAATGTTTATATATATATATAGAGAGAGAGAGAGAGCAATGCTATAGTATATATATATACAGAGAGCAGTGCTATAGAACACTAATTTATCATCACTAATACCACTATTAATGAGGTGGCAATTGAAAAAAAAAAAAAAAAAACAAGGCACAAAACACATGTGGTCTAAAGCATTTTTTATATATATATATATATATATCAAATAAATACAAGTGTTAATTACACTTTTTATCCTTCTAATTTGATTTAAATTTTATTTTCATATCTATTATTTTAATTTAAATAATTTAATTGTTATAGTTGCCTTATTTGATTAGATGAATTATAATATGATATTTGAATTATTGGTACATGAAACTCACATTTTATTATTTTGTTGCAAATTTTATTATTCAGTTTAGATTCCAATGATTATCTAACAAAATTGATGAATTTTTTAATCTTACAATTAATAGCACAAAACATATATATAATTGGTTATAGACCAATTTTTCCTTACTTGATTATTGATCAAATATTGCCTAAAGCTCCTTACTAAGAGTAGTATTTGGGCCGTTACCTTTATTTTTCATAAAATTTACATTTTTTAAAACTATTTGATAAGATCTATCAAAAAAATATCTCAATTGAATATAAAATTATTTTTTTTTAAAAATACACTTTTTGAATGAAAATGTATAACTTTCGAAATTTCACATTTTTAAAATTCATATAGTTTCTAAATTGAAAAATTTTAAATTTAAATTTCTAATTTCATAGTGTTTCTAAATTGAAAAAGTTTAAATTTAAATTTCTAATAATGTGAAATTTCACATATTTGAAATGCAACAAATAAAAAATAAATAAATAAACTTTACACTTGTTCTAAATAAAAATAATGCGATTTTTTTTTAAAGTGCGAATATTCACACTTTCAACAAACAATAAATACTTTCTACACGTTTTTAGGTGGCCCTGTGACCTTTTTATCAAAATCCAAACTAAAATTAACAAAAATAAAATTGAAAATTTTAAAAATTACTAAAGAATTGCTTCCAAACTACTGCTGATGGTTGGTCATGCACTTCATTAAAGAGGGTAAAGATATTTCACAAGGGAAAGTTTATAGTATATACATACGCATCTCTAGTTATAATTTTTGTAATATTTAGTTATAATTTATTGTAGTGTTAGTCATGACTCATTATAATATTGATTATGACATTATTTTGGTTATGATTCAAACGTTTTTTAGTTATACCTTATAAATATTTTTAAATTTTGACTCCCAACAAATTGAGTTATGACATTTGTAATAATCAACCCCACAAATATTATAACTTACATATAATAGCATTGCCTTTTTGACAAATGCTTAAGATGAATTTTGGAGTATGCCTATCATTTATTGCTCTCTCTTTTTTTTCTTTTTCTTTTTTCGTTCTATGATGATGAAATACATAGTGACTAGTGAGCCTCTACAACTAATGAGCTCAATTAGATACCATTAGTGAAGAGGGCTCCTCAATATGTGTCAAATAAACCACAAACATTTCCTTGAGTTGAGTTAAGTTGACATATAATCTGTGTCGAAGAATCCAAAAACATTATAATAGTTTTGGAGAAATAAAGCACCGCTTGAACGGTGGAGTTACTGCTTGAGCGGTGAATTGAGGCAACCAATATTTTCCTCTACAAGTCTGATATAATAACCTCAACATACATATCATGATTATATTCATTTACTTATATGTTATTTATTAACTGTGATATGTGCCTTGTGATTAATTTGTACATATCTATCTGATTTGGAAATTATCTATCATGGTTTCTGCTCTAAATCTGAAATTGATAGCCAAAATGTTTTTAGAAACTGAAACTAAGCACATGGATAGACTAATTGGAATTTTTGGAACCATTTGAAAAATTTTTATTAGAAATTGATTTAGTTTAGTAAAATCGCATGTGATTAAATTGAGCCTTAATTTGAACTATTTTGGGTTAATTGAGTTGTATACTAACCTTGATTAATTAAGACTACTTGTGTTTAATTAAGATGATATAAGATAATACATGATTAGTATCTAATTTAATCCTATTTCTGATTCAACATCAGATTTAGTGTAGTATGAGATGAGAATTTTGTAATGTTGGGTGTAGAGGATTAAAATCCGTGAGTGTGTGTTGTGCTGGAAGCTTTAGAAGAGTTGTGTGTGCACGTATCTTGTGTAGGAGAGTCAAGATGTGAGAGTGTTTGTATATGTATTCTGCTGAGTTGAGGGAATGTTGTATTATTTCTTTGGTTTTATTGAGTTCATCCTTGGCTCCTTGTGTTGAGAGCTCAAGTTAGAAAGAGAGTGAGAGTTGAAGACTAGCTTTAGAGAGAAAAACCCATTTTTGTGCTAGAGATTGAAGAAACTAAGGAGGATCATCTCATATTTTCTGAAATCAAAGCTCTAGGTAAGAATCTTGAACACAATTTCTGTAGTAAATCCTTTATGCGTCATGATTTCATCAAGTTATTGAGCTACTTTCATGAGAGTTGTAAAAAAATGGATTTTTGAGCATGAAGATGAGTTGCATGTACATTCTTAGTAGTTAATCTTTGATTTCATCATTCTAAGTATGAGTTTTGAAGTCTTTGCATGCATGTGAATTCATATCTTGTATATTGTTTCAGAAACTCATGAATTTATAAGCACCGTTGCATATTTTTTGAAGAATAAGAGAGAAGAGTTGGAAATTCTTGCATGCGTGGATTTTAGTTCAAACCTTTGACAAATTGATGAAGATTTGAATAAAGGATGTTTCAAAGGTCTTGTATTTGAGTTTTCTAAAACTATTCCATGTATTTGAACAAACCATGCACGACCCCAAGTTTTGAAAAGTTGTTAGAAGCCATTTTTGTTGAGCTTGGTACCTAGAAATTTTGCAGATCGCTCGAGCGACCGTTTAGTGGCTCGAGCGAACTTCATGGGCTCCCAATAGTTTTGCAATCTTTACAAATCGCTCGAGAGACCAAAATGTGGCTCAAGCGAACCCTTTGTATGTTATCAGACCACTTGAGCGATGGAGTGTTGGCTCAAGCCAACTTCAAACCTTCCCAGCATTTTTGAAATCCATGCAGTCTGCTCGAGCGACCATTTGGTGGCTCGAGCGATCATGTCATTTTCAGCACATTTTGGGATGTTGTTTTGTGTTCGCATCTTCGTTTCCATCTTCTTCTAAGCATTCCTAGGCATGAATTATGACTCATTAAGGAACTAATAAGTAAGAAACCATCATGAATAATTGGATTAGAAAAGAGTAGATGAATTATTCGGTTCAAACAATATGTTTCAATGTGTATGCTTATATGCAATGTGTAGGTTCGAACGTTGTGGAAGAAAATCAACCTACTCAAGGTGAGTAATATCTTATATAGTTTTTTTTTTTGGGTGAATAATATCTTATCTTATATGGTTAAGAGAGAGGCTTGAAAAAAAATGACATAAACATTGGGACAAGGACTTAACTTATGACTACGCTATTAAAGTTGACAGAGTTTGGTTCCTTTATCTCAAAATGCTCGTGTCCCTATGTTTCAAACCTCTCTTATCATGTTGTACGACTGAAAAGAAAGGCACACATATTGGTACGAAAACTATTATCCTGAGGTTTTGATATGACCTATTCCAATGAAAATGAAAAGCAAAGCAAAATAAAGAGGATTAACACACAGTTCAACAAATTCAAGGCACAACTCAAGCTACAGTTGTAGCCTCAGCTCAAGTTATAGCTCAAGGTCTTAGGCTTAGGTTAGGCTTAGGTTTAGGCTTAGCTATTTTGTTGCATGGTACAAAATAGCTTAAACAAAATATCTTAGACCACTATTTGTTTTTAACTTAAGTGGGCCAAAATCAGTTAACAGTCACAAGAAGGCCCGGGGAACACTGCGAACACCTCAACAGGGACCGATGTAAGTTGTGGAAACTTATAGAACTAGTGCGGGACTCCTAGTTTGAAAACTAAGTGAAAAAAGATACTTTTTTCACACTTAAGCTTTAAAATAGTCCATCGGGGTCCAAAACTGTGTAACAGTCACGAGAAGACTCGGAGAACACCTCAAACACATCGAGAGGGAGCATTGTAAGTTGTGGAAACTTACGGAACTGGCACGAGACTCCCAGTTTGAAAACTAAGTCAAAAAATGTACTTTTTCACACTTAAGGTTGAAAATAGGCCATCGGGGTCCAAAATCTTGTAAGAGTCACAAAAACTCTCGGGAACAACCCAAACACCTCGGGAAGGACCAATGTAAGTTGTCGAAACTAACGGAACTAGCATGGGACTCCTGGTTTGAAAACTAAGTAAAAAAATGCATTTTTTTCACACTTACCAACGAGTAAAATCTCCTTGTGCTTCAAGACCCCATAGAAACAACAAAGAATGTGCTAAACTATTAGTAGGAGTAGAAACTGCGGCTGTTAAGAAATTGCAGCCTTCCAAATAGGAACTAGCCAATCCATGAGTATACCATGAAGTTACAAAGGTTGTACCTGTGAACCAACCCCCTAAAGCAAAATAGGCACAAGGAAAGAGCAATAAACCGGACCAGCCTACAAAAACGAAACGGTCCCTACGTAACCAGTCATCCATAATAACAAATAAATCATTTTCGTCTTTGGTAAATTTACCAAGGGCTATAGTCATAGTAATCCTCCTATTCAACTACTTCGACCATTTCCGAACACCTCATAACATTTTCAGGGCGTTTGAAGATTCGATCATTTATGTATGATTTGATTTCTCGCGCATTGCCCCTTCTAATGGGTTTCGAAGATCAAAATCCTTTATTGGTCTATAACCCTGACCTAGGTAAATCCACGAACTCAATTCGATTATTCCTTCTTATTCTTACTAAGCCTAAGTATCTGAACTATGAATTGTGTTCTTATAACCTATCGGGGGCCAAAATCGTGTAACAGTCACGATAAATCCTGGGAAACACCTAAAACACCTCGGAC